CGTGCTATTAAAATATATTAAAAGGTGAGTGGGTGAGGGACTTGAGCTAGCCTAGGTAGTTCAGGAAGTCTTCCCCGATGTGCTGATATGCATAGGCATTAACTAGATAAATAGAAGGATGAGCCAACATTGCAGGTAGAGGGAACAGAATATGCAAAGGCAGGAAGGATTATGGGGTCATTGGAGGAACTGAATAAAGGCCAGTGTGAGTGACTCTCAGAAAATAGGAGAAAAGGTGTATGAGGTGAGATCAGAGAGGCAGATCATGTGGGGTATGGTTAATGTTTTGGACTTTTCTATTAAGAGCAATGGGGAGCCAGTGACAGGAGTAAGTAGGGAAATAATATGACCAGATTAAACTTTCTAAAAAAACCTTCTATACAAATATATATTAAGAGTTAATTATTGATAAAGATTCAAAGGCAACAAAGTGGAGAGAGAATAGTATTTTCAAAAAAATGGTGCCAAAACAATAGGACACCTGTATAAAAAGTTGAGTATCTGTCTACAAAACTTAACTCAAAATGGATCACAGACCTAAATGTAAAACTGACAGCTATACAACTTCTCGAAGAAAACACAGATGAGAATCTGTGTGGTCTTGAGTTTGAAAATGATTTATTAGATCTCACACCATAATCTATAAGTGAACAAAGTGATGAGCTGGATTTCGTCAGAATTTAAAATGTTTGTGCTTCAAAAGACACTGGTATGATAATGAAGACAAACTACAGATAAGATATTGTTAAATCATATTTCTGATAATGAATTGTGTTCAGAATACGTAACTTAAAACCCCCATAATAAATTACAAGTAGCCCAATTTAAAAAAACAAAAAAAAAGAGAGAAAAAATTTGCACTCTTCATCAAAGAAAGTATACAATTGTAAAATAAGCACAATGAAAAATGTTCTGCATCTTTATTCATGGGATAAATGAAAATTAAATGGGAAAGACGCCTCTAATTAGAATACTAAAATTAAAAAGACTGACCATAGCAAGTATTGGTGAGATGGAAATGTAAAATGGTACAATCACTTAGAAAGATGATTTGGAAGTTTCTTATACAAGTAGGTATATACCTACCCTGTGACTCACCCATTCTGTGGCTAAGTATTTACCTGAAATGAAAGATGAAAGAATACATCCATACAAAGACGTTTATACAAATATTTATAGCAGCTTTATTTGTAGTAGCCCCAAACTGAAAAGAACCCAAATGTTCATAAAAAGTGTGGATAAACAGAGTGTGGTACAGCAATGCAATAGAATACTACTTGGCAATAAAGAAGAATGAACTAGTGATATACATAACAGCTTAAATGTATATCAAAGGCATTGTACTCAGTGAAAGATGCAAGTAAAAAAAAAAAAAAAAAAAAAGAGTACCTGCCGTACATTTTCATTGATATAAAACTCTGGAAAGTGAAAAACAATCTATACTGACCGAAAGCAGATCACTGGTTGCCTGAGGAGGAGTATGGGAGAGGTGGAGGGAAAATGTACAAAGTGGCACAATAGAAACTTTTGGAATCATAGATATGTTCACTATCATGATTGAATGATGGTTTCATGAATGCATGCGTGTATCAAAAATGATCAATTTATGCAACTTTAAATATGTGCAGCTTATTGTATATATCAATTATACCTCAGTACAGCTATTAAAAAAAAACCCTCTGACTGCACAATGCAGAACTGATTCTAGGAAAGAGTGGAAGGAGGGTGACTGTTTACAGGGCTCCAGGTGGAAGAGAACGGTGCCTTCTGGAAGTGAACTAGGTTGGCAACAGCAAAGATGAAATAAGTGGGCAGATGTGTGAGATACTTAGGAAATAAAACCCTATGGTCACCATTTTCCAAAGGTCAGCTCATCCTGGCTTTCCAGAGCAAAGATCTAGGGAAGACTTCATTAATAAATCCCTCTTGAAGTTGCAGAGGAAGCTTATAGCAGAAACTTACTCTCCAACTGACTAATCTGAGAGAACACCTCTGGTTCCATTTGATTACTAAAAAACTGCAAAGAAGAACAGGAGGAGAAAGAAGAAGAAAGCTGGTACAAACGGTGAACTTATATAATATTATTCAATAATTGTCTCTTGTTCTTAAAAGCAATGGGAAGAAAATAAGATTTGAGCTAGAAGATCACAGCTCAAAATCCAAATAAAGTATGTGGCCCTAATATGCTTACAGTAGTTAACTTTTCCTGATAATGATATAATTGTTGACAGCACCATCTTTAAAAATAAAAATAACATAGTGATCCTTCAGATTTGTTGAATGCTTTCCTGTTTACAAGTTTGTACTATACACATTACGTCTTTTAAATGATATACTAGCTTTCTGAAGGTAGCTTATATTGGCAACACTTTTCAGATGTGGAAACTGTGAAGACAATGTTGGTGATGTGGAAACAACATAAACTTTGGAGTCTTTCAGACCCGGATTTGAATGCCAGACTGCTTTTTATTCAGAGTAACTTCAGAGCATTATTTCTCACCTTAATTTTTTTCAGGTGTCTTAGTGTCTGTATGTCCTCCTCACTCCTGTTCGTTGTTCATTCAGTGATTTTTGCACCTTCCTTCACTGTTAATCTGTAGACAAATAGTTCTCCTGACTCTGAGACCTATGTTAATTCCATTCTACCATCCTGCCAGCCCACTCAATTCCTATTGAGCAATGCTAGTTGAAAGTTGTGGTGGGATTAAATGTTGCAATGAGTATTCAAATAAGGTTGAAGTATCTATGCATTCTACTTACATATGGTTGAGGTATATTCAAGGAAGGCTGTAGCCATTAAAATCTCAGGGAACAATTTTTCACCTCCTCAGGTGAAAGGGTCTTCAGGCCTTTGTGTTCTGGAAGGTTCATTTATAGCCATTTCCCAAATAACATTGAGACGGATGAGTCTAGAGTCTAGCTCAAATGGCAATGGGCTGGAAGACTAGTTTAGTTTTTACTAATGTGGAACATAGAACAAAATTATGTCCTTGTTTCAGCCTGCTCATCTGTGAAGTAGAGCCTATCATATCCAGTCTCCCTTGCCTTTAGGTTTGAGTTACCTTCTTTGGTCAAGGTAAGTAAATGCCTATGATGTTTTGCTGTGCACAAGATAAAGCTACAACAAAGCTACAACCTGTCTTTTCTCTGTAGAAGACGGCAAAAAGCAAAAGAGACCCAGGCAAAAATCTCGGAATGACTTTTGAAACAGACAGCCTCCCTAGAATCAGAAGTCAAAGGAATTTAAAACATAGGGAGGCCCAGGGTCTCTACTGACATAAAAGAAAGCTGTTTTCGTTATAGGTTTACTTTTACATTTTCTCTCTCTTTCCATTCCCACCTGCCTCTCCACCTTTACACAGGGCTTATGGGACCTCCTCCACAAAAGAGCAGTTGCAATAACCCACATCATCCTCCACGCCTGGCTGTCCATCAAGAGGCGAAAAGCAGCCCTATATAGGTTCTATCCTTGGATAGTTCCGGTTGGAAAGTTTAAAATATGCAAAGGCAACTTGGAAAAGCAAGCGGCTGCATACAACACAAACCTTTGCAAAGCTCTGCACAAAATTGAGGGCCTATGCGTACATGGCAAGTGTTTTTAGTGTTTGCGTGTTTACCTGCTTGTCTGGGTGGTTTTGCCTTTGCAAGTCTGGATGAGAAATGCATGGTTAAAGGCAATTCCAGACAGGAAGAAAGGCAGAGAAGAGGGTAGAAATGACCTCTGATTCTTGGGGCTGAGGGTTCCTAGAGCAAATGGCACAATGCCAGGAGGCCCGATCTATCCCTATGACGGAATCTAAGGTTTCAGCTAGTATCTGCTGGCTTGGTCATGGCTTGCTCCTCAGTTTGTAGGAGACTCTCCCGTCTGCACGCTCTTATCAGTCCTGAAAAGAACCCCTGGCAGCCATTAGGAGCAGGTACTCCTATCGTCCTTTTCCTCCCTCCTCCTCTACACCCCGTTGGTTTTTTAGATTGGGCTTTGGAACCAAATTTGGTGAGTGCTGGCCTCCAGGAAATCTGGATCTCTGGCGCTTAAAGCTTGGTTTAGCAAAGCAGGAGCTATTCAGGAAGCAGGGGTCCTCCAGGGCTACAGCTAGCCTCTCCTGCCCTCGCCCACGCTGCGCCAGCACTTGTTTCTCCAAAGCCACTAGGCAGGCGTTAGCGCGCGATGAGGGGAGGGGAGAAAAAGAAAGGGGAGGGGAGGGAAAAGGAGGTGGGAAGGCAAGGAGGCCGGCCCGGCGGGGGCGGGACCCGACTCGCAAACTGTTGCATTTGCTCTCCACCTCCCAGCGCCCCCTCCGAGATCCCGGGGAGCCAGCTTGCTGGGAGAGCGGGACGGTCCGGAGCAAGCCCAGAGGCAGAGGAGGCGACAGAGGGAAAAACGGCCGAGCTAGCCGCTCCAGTGCTGTACAGGAGCCGAAGGGACGCACCACGACAGCCCCAGCCCGGCTCCAGCGACAGCCAACGCCTTTTGCAGCGCGGCGACTTCGAAGCCGCCGCCCCGGAGCTGCCCTTTCCTCTTCGGTGAAGTTTTTAAAAGCTGCTAAAGACTCGGAGGAAGCAAGGAAAGTGCCTGGTAGGACTGACGGCTGCCTTTGTCCTCCTCCTCTCCACCCCGCCTCCCCCCACCCTGCTCCCCCCCCCGCCCCGCGTCTTCTCTCCCGCAGCTGCCTCAGTCGGCTACTCTCCGCCAACCCCCCTTACTGCCCCTCTCCCCACCCTCCCTCCCCCGTCGGCCCAGCGCTGCCAGCCCGAGTTTGCAGAGAGGTAACTCCCTTTGGCTGCGAGCGGGCGAGCTAGCTGCACATTGCAAAGAAGGCTCTTAGGAGCCAGGCGACTGGGGAGCGGCTTCAGCACTGCAGCCACGACCTGCCTGGTTAGGCTGCACGCGGAGAGAACCCTCCGTTTCCCCCCACTCTCTCTCTACTTCCTCCTGCTTTCCCCACCCCGAGTGCGGAGCCAGAGATCAAAAGATGAAAAGACAGTCAGGGCTTCAGTAGCCAAAAAATAAAACAAACAAAAACAAAACAAAACAAAAAAACGAAATAAAAGAAAAAGATAATAACTCAGTTCTTATTTGCACCTACTTCAGTGGACACTGAATTTGGAAGGTGGAGGATTTTGTTTTTTCTTTTAAGATTCGGGCATCTTTTGAATCTACCCTTCAAGTGTTAAGAGACAGACTGTGAGCCTAGCAGGGCAGATCTTGTCCACCGTGTGTCTTCTTCTGCAGGAGACTTTGAGGCTGTCAGAGCGCTTTTTGCGTGGTTGCTCCCGCAAGTTTCCTTCTCTGGAGCTTCCCGCAGGTGGGCAGCTAGCTGCAGCGACTACCGCATCATCACAGCCTGTTGAACTCTTCTGAGCAAGAGAAGGGGAGGCGGGGTAAGGGAAGTAGGTGGAAGATTCAGCCAAGCTCAAGGATGGAGGTGCAGTTAGGGCTGGGGAGGGTCTACCCTCGGCCGCCGTCCAAGACCTACCGAGGAGCTTTCCAGAATCTGTTCCAGAGCGTGCGCGAAGTGATCCAGAACCCGGGCCCCAGGCACCCAGAGGCCGCGAGCGCAGCACCTCCCGGCGCCAGTTTGCAGCAGCAGCAGCAGCAGCAGCAAGAAACTAGCCCCCGGCAACAGCAGCAGCAGCAGCAGGGTGAGGATGGTTCTCCCCAAGCCCATCGTAGAGGCCCCACAGGCTACCTGGTCCTGGATGAGGAACAGCAGCCTTCACAGCCTCAGTCAGCCCCGGAGTGCCACCCCGAGAGAGGTTGCGTCCCAGAGCCTGGAGCCGCCGTGGCCGCCGGCAAGGGGCTGCCGCAGCAGCTGCCAGCACCTCCGGACGAGGATGACTCAGCTGCCCCATCCACGTTGTCTCTGCTGGGCCCCACTTTCCCCGGCTTAAGCAGCTGCTCCGCCGACCTTAAAGACATCCTGAGCGAGGCCAGCACCATGCAACTCCTTCAGCAACAGCAGCAGGAAGCAGTATCCGAAGGCAGCAGCAGCGGGAGAGCGAGGGAGGCCTCGGGGGCTCCCACTTCCTCCAAGGACAATTACTTAGGGGGCACTTCGACCATTTCTGACAGCGCCAAGGAGCTGTGTAAGGCAGTGTCGGTGTCCATGGGCTTGGGTGTGGAGGCGTTGGAGCATCTGAGTCCAGGGGAACAGCTTCGGGGGGATTGCATGTACGCCCCAGTTTTGGGAGTTCCACCCGCTGTGCGTCCCACTCCGTGTGCCCCATTGGCCGAATGCAAAGGTTCTCTGCTAGACGACAGCGCAGGCAAGAGCACTGAAGATACTGCTGAGTATTCCCCTTTCAAGGGAGGTTACACCAAAGGGCTAGAAGGCGAGAGCCTAGGCTGCTCTGGCAGCGCTGCAGCAGGGAGCTCCGGGACACTTGAACTGCCGTCCACCCTGTCTCTCTACAAGTCCGGAGCACTGGACGAGGCAGCTGCGTACCAGAGTCGCGACTACTACAACTTTCCACTGGCTCTGGCCGGGCCGCCGCCCCCTCCACCGCCTCCCCATCCCCACGCTCGCATCAAGCTGGAGAACCCGCTGGACTATGGCAGCGCCTGGGCGGCTGCGGCGGCGCAGTGCCGCTATGGGGACCTGGCGAGCCTGCATGGCGCGGGTGCAGCGGGACCCGGCTCTGGGTCACCCTCAGCGGCCGCTTCCTCATCCTGGCACACTCTCTTCACAGCCGAAGAAGGCCAGTTGTATGGACCGTGTGGTGGTGGGGGCGGCGGCGGTGGCGGCGGCGGCGGCGGCGCAGGCGAGGCGGGAGCTGTAGCCCCCTACGGCTACACTCGGCCACCTCAGGGGCTGGCGGGCCAGGAAGGCGACTTCACCGCACCTGATGTGTGGTACCCTGGCGGCATGGTGAGCAGAGTGCCCTATCCCAGTCCCACTTGTGTCAAAAGCGAGATGGGCCCCTGGATGGATAGCTACTCCGGACCTTACGGGGACATGCGGTAAGTTTCTCCTTCCAGAAATGTCGCCTTTCGGCCCAGGGCACAGAGTCGCTCTGCATTCTGGGGTGTCTAGTGGCTCCTACCTGCGCGAACACTCAGACTGCCCCTGGGAGAGCTCAGCAGGGTAAACCTAGAGCTCTCCCCGTGGACTCCCGGCCTGCCAGAGGTTTAACCTGAGCTCTCCTAATTTCTGCTGCGTGTCCTGGGTGCTGATTCCTGCCCTCCCAGATTCTTCAACTCCCCCAACGGCCCCAAATTCTCGCTACCTCCTGGTACCCGAGTCCCAAACTTAAATCCTATTGTACGGGCCACCTTCAGAGACAAAGCTCATAAGCCCTCCACTCTTCCTTTTCTCCTGTCCTCGAAGTCTGAGAACCTCAATCAGAAATTTGGGCAATTTCTTCTCTTCGGGTCTGTTAGGACTTCCCTTTCAGCCTGTGCAGATTAGAGTCAAAAAGACTGGCCCAAGAGCTTCTCAGCGGATCTCCTCCAAAGAGGTAAAATGAAATTCTCGGTTAGGGAAAGAAAGTGGTCTCTGGGTGCTGAGGTCTGCTATGTGAAGGAGTGAACTTCTTTCCCGGAAGCAACTGGGGACTTGCTCCAGGGCTGGAGGTCAGTAGAGATAATCTGAACCGTCATGTTTAGAGTAGGCAGAGGGGCAACTTTCTTGGTAAAGACTCCACAGGATTTGCATTCACAGTTTCTCAACGTTGGTTGACTATGTTGAAAGTAGTTGCTTGGGTCGGTTTTCTCTTATAAAGTGTTTATTTTCTCTGTGGATTTTAACAGATCCACAACCCCCTACTTCAGGTTTGCATCAGATCTATAAAGAGGAGAATATTCTTTTAATGTACAATTTAATTAGGCTTCAGTCTGACTTACAAAAGTGTTGGAAAACATATTTTTGTGAAACATTTCCTGCTATTTCAGTGTGCCCCAAAATCTCCACTGGGGAGGGAGGAGTGAGGTTTTTCTTATTATATTCCTTCATTTTTAGGACATGTTGGCATTTTAGAATACATGCTGTTAGCTCTAACAAATTGAGTAAGAACTCTTAGTGACCTATGAGCCATAATCTTACCCCAGAGTTTTAATTAGCATATGAGAAAAGTGGCAGGCAATTGCATCGTGCTTATTAAAAATTATTCCTCACCGCAATTGTTGAGCTTCTTGGAGACCATGCTGAAGATTTTCTCCCCCAGCAAATTAAGATATTAGTTTATCTAGTGAGGGAGGACATACTGAATTGGGGAATTCACTCCTCAGGTAGACCAGGTGCTGATGTCCCTGTGGACTTATGTCTCATTCTTTGTTTCTATGGCTGTTTTCTTTTATCTGTGACTTCTCCGAAATTTCTTTGTTAGCCTTAACATCTTCGTTTGGGGACTTAAATCCAGCAATTTGCCTTCTTTCACTGATGCTTTCCTTGTTACAAGGTAGAGATAGCACGCTATTAGTGAAGAAAGAAAGAGGAGGGTAGGATTTCATATTATTTTGTGGGCTGTTGAAGAAACAGCTTCTTACCAGGCTTTACATTCCATTAGGTTTTTAATGTTTGGCTTACAAGATTTTGAAAGGGTTCATTTGATATCGTCAAAGTATTTTCCAGTTAATTTAGACTCTTTATTTTTGTAATGGGTTTATCCTATGGGACAAAAAAAGTATTCTTCATTTTATAAGAATAAATTTTCTTGGCAGGGTTAATTTTTTTTCTAAGCCTGTCACTAGACGGTGGAGCCCTTCTTCTACTGTAAACTTTTCTTGTGGGAAAATGTCTAAGGTGCATTTTGACCTGCCATGATACTAAACCCAGACTCTGGAACCTTCCATCTTCTGCATGCCTCCCCCACAACTTACTTACTTAGCAGGGAAAAAACTGATGGTTCCACATATTTCTTAAAAAATGTGTGCCTTCAAAGGCAAAACCAAAATTTTTAGGGAATAACTATAGAGAGCAAAAGTTACTCCCATCAGGTAGACAATGAGCTTGGTGATTTTATTTCAGGTCTTAATGAAAAAAGCTTCTTTATGAGGAAGATTATCATATCTTGGTGCCTCCTTGACAGTCTGCTTAAATTAATGACATAAACTAATGAGAATTTAGCAGTTCCTGCAGAAAGTACAAGATTTTTTTTCTGGTTTTTGATTGCTGCACTGATTATGAGGAGTCTAGTTAAAAGGAAAACTGGTGTTCCTGTCTCGTAAGTTGACGAAGACTTTCCATTTCTAGGATAGAGAAAATCCTTAAGTCAGTTTATTGAAAATTAATCAATTTAATCAGAATGCAATCAATTCCAATCCAAAAGTTGATATTTTCTTACTTTCTCTTTTTTTCCCCTCACTTTGTAGGGGTGCAATTTGGTGAAAGGCAAGAGATTTCTTAAGCCAAATCAAGAGTGTCTTCCCTTTCTGTATTGCATGCATTATGTGCCATTTTTTAGCTAAAAATCTCAAAATTGTGCAGGCTTCCAGTGACCTGTTGGGTTCCTCTCTTTTCCATTCATGTGTGTGTTTATGCACATTAGTTAATTTTGTGAAGGGATTTTTTTAAACCTTAGTAACATCTGCACTCACTCTGTGTTCTTACACATTTACAATGTTTCTGCTGAGAGGATGGGAGATGCAAAGGTGGTCTCTTTTACTTAATTTAGCATGTGATTTAAACAGAAGGAAAAATAAAAAGTGATGGGACTTGTGTGCAACCCTGATGATATTTTGTGGAGTTGTCTGTCTTCTCTCTGAGATCAAACAGGACTACAACTTTGTTAATTGACCACTGGCTCCCTTGGCAGAGGTAGGGCTTCTTAGATTCCAGCAGGCAGCACAATAATATGACAAAAATTTATTCTTGGGAGTTGGGTTCTAAGAGAGTCTGCATGCCAGAATTAGAGTTTGGGGTTTAGAGAAATTATCCAGATGCAAAAAGAACATTTTAATTTTTCTCTTGGTAATTTGTTCTGGTCTCCATAGTAGGTAGTACTTTAGCAGTGCTTTGATATTGACAAGTCTTGTTCCCTTTTTCTATTAGATTTTACAGAATAAGGCATTTTATTAATTCCTCTTTCCTTCTCCTCTCTCCTCTCAGTTACCAAGCATTTTTATGACTATCTTACAAGGGACAGTTTGTCTTGTAAAGCAGAATTTTCCTTTGAAACCAAGACAGACTATTTCTCCCCATAGGCTTCAAGAACCAATATTTTGGCAAGAAGCATCTTTTCCTTGTGGTCAGCAAATAGGTAGTGAGTTCTGTCTGGATTCCAACAATCAACACCTGAGGACCAAATAGCCACACTGGGTGGCACCCCATCTGGAAGTATACACAGGATGTAGCCCTCTTTCTTGTCCACAGCTCAAGTCAGCCAAAGATTAACACTGGTGAGAGATATTTTCGAAGAAGTTTGCAGGCTTCCAATTGCAGGGTCGTTTTGGGGTGCTTTCTTGCCTGTGCTAATTTTATCTCATCAGGCTTCCATTCTTTGAGCTGTAAACTTTGAAATAATATATTAGATTCGCTGGTACGTTTAATTTTCTTTGTCAAGTGTTTTTCATTCCAATAGTAATTTTTCATCTGGTGTACATATATGCATTTAAAACAAAAAATTCTTTGGTCTCCTTTCGCGTACATGCACTGTGGCTTGTACGTGTGCAAGCCACTTGGTGGGATTATGTGAATTGGGGTTAGAAATGTGGACAATTTTATTATGATTATTTTTAATGGTGATATCAAGATCACCAGTTTCATTCAGAACCTTGCATAAGCAGGGAGCAGAATGTGGACTGGGTGTGGCAAAGCAAGGGCTTATTTTATAGCCAAACCTGAAATCACAACTCTGAAATATAAAAAAAAAAAGCAAACAAAAAAATCAAGTTTTGTGAGCTTGGTCAGAGAAGGAAAAGAAAATCTCTCCCCACCCCCCACCTCCACCATTTTCTCTTTGTCTGCAGCTTCCTCAAGTGCTGCCTGTCCCCGATTTTCTTTTATTCCACTCCTTTCATGTTTTTGACATTGAAATACAGACTCTTCTTTCCACTTCTCAGGGCATTTTTCTCATTACACCTGTGGCATGCTCCTAAATAATTTCTTAAAAAAAAAAAATCTGTAAAGTAGCCGATTAGATCAACCCCAGCATCTCTCCCTTAAGACCTAGATGACATGAGGGGATTGCAAAATGAATAGCTGGGTTTTTTTTACCTTGAGGTTAAAGCCTGGTTCAACAGTTGCTGAGGGAGTTAACTAGATGGCTTGAGGACTTGGCAATTTCATAAAGTATTTTGTCTTATGCTGTCGCTGTCTCTGTCTCTGTCTTGATCTCTGTCTCTCTCTGTGTACTGTAATGTTGGCCACCTTCTCTCAGAACCTGAGAGAGAGCTCTGAGACCCTTCCCAGGTCGGTTCGGTTCAGACCTCGGTAGCCTGGTCACAAGCAGTACCTAATATGCATATGAGGGTGCATGCTGTAAGTGTCCGGCTGGGCTAATCTGCTTAAGCTACATAAAAATTAATCATTTGAAAACAAAGAAAGATATTAAAGAAATTATTCTACCTCCGACTTCTCATATCAGCATTCCATCAAGTTCTGGGATGTTAAATTCAGAGAAAGTTAACCTCATCTTAAACACAAAGTTGACTTTTAAACAAAATTGCTTATAAAGTTCCGTACAGTTACCAGCATTGGTTGCCCTTTGTCATACGGAAGAGAATTATGAAATCTCATATTTACATAGCATTCTTAAAAAAAAAAAAAAGACACAGTGTTTTCCAGTTTATTCACTGCATTCATGTTAGTTTGAGTAGGCCAGGAGGGGTGCTTAGTGATTACCCTTTTGCTAGGTAAAGAAGTAGAAAGATAGATTTTCTATGATGTTTGTTTACCACGTAGGGGAATCTCTCTAGAGCAACACTCCCAGGCTTTTTCTTCTTGAAATTTCCCACCTGACAAATACTTTAGATTGTTACTCCTAAGGACTTCTCTCAGTAGCTGCTACATAGAGACGATAGTC